TATTAATAAATAAGTTGAAAATAAATAATAAAATATTAATATTGCGCAGTAAGTAAAATTTCTCCAACATTTCTTATTTCTTTCTTCTCTGCAATGTTGTTGCACATCCCTATAAATTTCATTCGTATTTCGTTTGGTAATATTTATTTCACATTATTACTTCTTCTACATATGTTATTCCTGCACACTAAATTTACGACAAGCAACAGCAATAACAGTAATAACAGCATTCTGTTCTCCGTAAGCGCCATCTTCGACAATACGATCTCCGTTTCCGGTTTCGATTCGATTTCCCCCGCGCATTTCCGCGGTTCTTTTATGCAAAAATGTTTCACGTTGAAATATTAATACCCAGCATCCTGTCCGCGGCACGTGTTACTCTCGTAAATCACCAATGAAAATTTATGTGGAGTAAAGTGCGCTTGTTACGCATCGGCTCTGACACACTCCATTTTTCCCTCCCCCTACCCTCCTGCTTTTTCTCGTACTTTTTATTTGCATTATCGCGGCCAACACGTTATTATTCCTCGAACGTCGTCAACGACAATGCGCATCCGTTTTCGAGACGCGATCGTTCGCATCAGCGAGTGTCCTGCCCGCTTCGTTCACTTCGATCCGCAATTTTTGCGCTCGCGTCTCGTGTTTTTCACCGTGATTGACAATTCTCAGCAACTTTTCTTTTTTTTTTTTGCTTGCGTCAGCGTAATATCACGCACGATCAAGAGCAAACGAGCAAAAGTGATACGGCTGACCGTTCACTTTGTTTTGATCTTGTTCGTTCGGATCGAAGTTAAATTGAATTTCAAAAATTAAGTTTCCGTGAGAGAAGTTGGAGTGTTTCTAAATGTTAACATTTTTAGAATAATTATTATTTTATGATAATTATTGAAAATGAAGGTTCTGCGAGAAGAGTTTTTAAAATAATTCATTCAATGGCTTGATTCCGCGATGTTAGAATTCTATACTGTTACTGAAAATAATTAAAATTCATCGTCGTGAATCATGATTGATAGCATGTACCGAAGGACTAAACTTAGAGAACTAATTTAAATAGACATGATATTACTAATTAAATTAGATTGTATGAAATTATAGACATCTGTATTAATGTATTGCGGAGTGTATCTTTCATAATCAGTTCAATAGAAAATCCAGGTCAAGATCCACAGTCCATGCAAATATCTAGTGGAATCACTGTTACTTGATGAATTATGTACGAATCGAACATATGGAAAATTACTATTGAAATGCAATATAATAGTAATATGATGCAATGTAAAATATTAATTAATAATTAATATTAACATAATACAATAGTAACTCGGTTTATATTGTTATATAACGATGTGTTCTATATTCATCCGTAAACCATCAATTTGCTTCTGTCATATAAAAATAAGCGAGAGATTGTGGCCATCGTTAAGGGTCAGAGCCACGCTTCACCTTCATCCTCGAAATGTTCTTTAATTCATGCCGAGAGCGTGAATGAATCAAACGACGACGTGGCACATTCACGAAGAGTCTATGAAACAGGAAGCCACAGGAAAACCACCATGGCCACGGTTCTTTGTCCCTTGAAATTATCATTCGTGAAGTGTCGTAGTCGACGAACGTAGCCTCGTCCTTTTTCGACATTTCTTCCTCGTACCATATCCTCTATCTTCTACCAACTAGACGAATTCTTCGCCCGGGGGTGTTTGTACGCCTTCTTGGTCGAAGCTGCCTCGGCGAAGGTCGTCGGTTTCTTTTCTGATCTCTTCCGAGGCGTTCTCCAGGCCTCTCATTAGCGCGAGACGAGTTGCGTTTGAGAATCGTAGGCGCTGAAAACAATTTTCCCCTCTAAGAGTGTTTGTTGCTCGTTTGTAACTGTTTGTTGCACTGTTTGAAAACTCGTCTTGTTCCCTCGTAGACGAAATCGCGAACGTTTCGTGTTTTTGCAAGAGCGAGAAGATGCGAGTGGAAGGGGATGTATGTATGATCTTGAGATTATACGAAGTTGGAATGTTAATTCTGATAACATTTGCTGTAACTAGACTGCTGTTTCTATGGAAATTCATATTTTGGAAGATAGAGAAAGCAGAACCTCTGTGCAAAGTTGCGCTTTCAAATTTCTTGTAAATGCAATGAATTGCTAATATCGAGCATAATTTTCACCTTACGATTAAACATGTAACGATGAAACGATAATCGTTGGACAGTAATAATTAAACAGTGGCAGAAATTTAATAAATATGAATATTCGAAAGATAGAAATGATAAATAATTAAATTAATGTCTAAATGGTTGAACAGTAATAATTAAACAATAAATTGAAATTTAATACAAACATTTAAAAAACACAGAAAGATAAATAATTAAATTAATATATAAATGGTTGAAGAAATTATATGCACGCTATAATAAAAATATTTACAGGAATAAAGAATTAACAAAGTCAAATCAATTTCCAGATTCGTAATTGTCAAATATAAATATTGGAAAATTGATTTTGGTAGAAATTATTCGATGTATTAAAATACAGAGTCTCCAAATTAAGAAAGTTATTACTTAATTCTAAAGAAATGGGGCATCGTTCGAAACAAAATAAGTTAACTCGACTTTCTCGACTGATAGGCTAAATTTAAGAGAAATAGTGATGAATATAGCACTGAGTATATATTTTCAAATATATTTCCCCAATTAAAAATAGAGAAGTTTTATTGTCGATAGCGTTGAAAGAATTTTGTTTTAGGAAGACTGAAATAGTAGTATGATTGCAAGACTGTTATGACCATTAGTAACACTTGTTAACTCGATTGATAGGTTAAATTAAATTATTTTCATAAGCGTAAGATCATGAGATAACTTCGTACATTGAATATACTTTTCCAATTAGAACTAGAGCAATTTAACAACTCATCACGCTTGATAGTAGAAGAATTTTGTTTGAGGAAGAGTGAGATGTCAAATAGCATGATTATAAGTGTATTACGATGATTAGCAACACTTGTATATACTATGGTTAAAACGAATTAGCGTGAGAATGAAAATAGTCGCGAATTGATACTCATCGCGAATGATACAAGTTTTACTTATCATAATTATCATTATTTATCATATATAACCACATTTGGTGCTATCTACTTTATAGCTTATCGTTTTATCGTTCGTTACTTTTTCATCAATTACTTTTCTAATTACTACACTTAAATAGTCGACAGGTTTTAATTAAAAATGATTTTAAATGATATACATGGCTTGGTTTGGCTTGGCTTGGCTTCTTAGTGTTTAATAACTAGATATGTGAACACTATCTTTCTTAAAAGAACAAAAAGCAATTACCTCTATTTATATTCAATAAACTAGTTATTGATGAGTTGACGTTCAACCTTGAATAGATCTGGCTACAAATAACTGCTAATTGTGATAATAATTAGCTGAATTGTAATAGATCTTCACAGTATATCAATAGACCTTGACTATTTTTTATCCGTACATTTCGTTTATTCAACAAAATTTTTTGATTTTTGAATTTTTTGAACAGGATTTAAAATTCTTTTTAAATTATTTCTTAATTATTTGACTGTGCTAAATAATTATCTACAATATTCTTTAGATAAAATAACAAAGACAAATTTTCCGAAATCAACAAAATTTAAGATTCTTTCCAATATATTCAGAAGAATAATATGTCGAAGTGAACAAGAGTCACTTAAAGCAAAGAAATGATGCAGTTGAGTAAATAAGAAAGCGAAATACAGAACGTTAGAGTTCACAGTGGGAGGATTACTTCCTGGCAATTTTGAACAAAGAACAAATTTTATCTCGCCTGTGAAATCCTCGTCCTCGAACCGCTCAATGATTTCTTTATTTCTCGCAACATGGCGCTCGATATCCAACCAATAAGAAGATGATGATTGCTCAATTACAGTATTATCCGATTTAATCTTCATTAATCCCTGGTGGAATCTTTTAATCGTATATTATATTATTCACTCCACGTGACCTCGGCTTTTATCTATCACTCGCGACGTCATCGAACAACTCTCGCTTTGTTTTGTCTTCGTATTTGAGTTTTATCGTTATCAGGAGCGTGGATCGTCCGCGTGGTCGTCGTCCTTGGCCACGAGGCGACGCGATGCCTCGAAGAACGTCGAGATCGATCGTTCAGATGCTGCATTGTCGACGAAACGCCTCCACGCTCATATCATTGTCCCTAAACAATAATCGTTCGATCGTATCGAGCTGTTTTGCCGCTCTGGTTTTCGAAAATTACCCACTCACGATAAGAAACGATACAAGTGGAATTAAATCTCAAGCTTCTTGAAGTGTTTAAAATGCGATTTTATTCAAAATATCTCTCGAAATGTCTAGATATGATTGAACTCAACTGGAAGTTAATTTCTTTTTAGGTGGATGTCTTGTAAAATTAAGATATTCAGATTTTTAGAGAATTGAAACATTTTCTGAAAAGTCCCGCTGTTTGAAAAGGAGAGACAAGAAATAGTTTCAAGATAAGTGATACATACGTCCTAGAAAATAGATATTAGAAAATATTAGGAAAAAATATAAGAAGATTATAGAAAGCTTAACAAATTACTAAAAGTATTGAAAGCAGTCAAAAAATCTTTATACTCAATTATTACTCCTAGTTAATATTGTTAAACATGCATCTCTGCAAGTAAAGAAATATATAAAGTTAGAATTGTTAGTTTAGCAGAGAACTTGCATTATTTAAATTTCAAGTGCGATGTTATGTATGCATGTACATCTTGTCCCATTGTACTTGCAAAATACAGCTACATCGTTTTTCGAAAAAAGGAAAAAGTCAAAATTTGACTTGTTCCTTCGTTCATCAGAGGTAGATACTCGCGATATAGTAATTCCCGTTGCAATTGTCCAAGAAATTTATCGCGACATTGTAGAATATCTTATCGACTCTGTGTGTCCCGCTTATCAGCAATGTCGATTGCTATCTTTCATCCAACGATTGATCGAAGGATTTGGTTTATCGTTCACAGACTGACGGAGCCGACGGGGAACATTCACGACGGTATCGGGAACTACACTGCGGATGTGAAGTGTTCCTGGCTGATCGAGAGCACGCCGAACACGACCATACGACTGCACGTGGAACAATTCGCGACGGAATGCGGCTGGGATCACATGTACATCTACGACGGTGACAGCGTCGAGGCGCCGTTGCTCGCCGTGTTCTCCGGATTGATGCACAAAGATGGTTACCACATACGCCGCGTTCCGGAAGTGATCGCGCGCTCCGGAAGCGCGTTGCTTCACTTCTACTCGGATGTCGCGTACAACATGAGCGGCTTCAACATTAGTTACAAGATCAACGCCTGCCCCAGCAGGTGTGCAACTTTTTATTATTAAACCTTCTCGTATCTTATCTCTTCCCCCTTTTAATCCTAATATTGATAATATCCTTATCCCTTGATTTCTTTTTTTTTTTTTTACTAAATTTTATTTACTTAATAACTTTATAACTTATTATTTACTTATAACTTGTGACTTATTATATTATATTATTACTTATTATTTACTTGGCATTTCTTGTGACAATTTTCTTTATCTTTCCTGCGATCTTCTCGCACGGTAGATTATTATTCTTTTCTGAAGAATTTGCTCGAGGGTTTTTTTTTTTCTTGCAAGGGTTTCCTTCTTTATTTTCTACACTTTTATTTTCTTTCTGAATAGATTTCTTCAGGGAATTTCGTGGGGATCGTATTTTAGAATTCTGAAATATTTGGAGAGACTGTGAACAGATGTATTTTTAGGGATAAATCTTTAGAAGAGTATTTTTAAATTGATTTAAAAAATATGCTTTTGATTCATTAAAATCTAAATGCGGTTACGGTTTCACGAGTCAATCTGTTTTTACCTGCTCTTGTTATACGTTATATATGTACGTATACATGTACATCTTCTTTTAGCATTTGGAATTGAACTTTGACATATAACATAATAATTCTCCCAAAGTTCAAATCTCATGGTATCTTAGTAGCATTACCAATTCATAAAAATAGAAAAAGATATAAAATTTTCTAGCGTTATGACTAAAATTGCAATCATATTAATATTACATGTAATATTCATGAGCATATAATATATGACACTGTATGATCATTAAGTCATATAATATTTCATTAATCAATATTAAAATCATTATTGCTAAATATTATACGTAAAATATTTAAATATATATAATCTTAATAATATAATAATATAATATTTAAATAATAATTATTTTTTAAATTGTGTTGTATCCTGAATGTTCTTTAATTCTCCAAATATTTCTACACCGTGAAGAGGTCACAAATATTTTCCCATGTTCTCATCATTGACCATTTCCTTTCCAATATTTGCTCAGGCCTGGTCAGGCAAATGTTTATTTTATTCTCATGTACAAATATGATAAGAGCGTGTTTATTTTGGCGATTAGGATCGACATGCGGTGGCTTGGTTCCTTTAAAAATTTGCACAGCCTACTTTTCCTCTTCTATATGTATATATATATATATATATATTTTTTTTTTTTTTTTTTTTTTCGGTGTTCGTAGGTATTCTCACATCGACTGTTCCGGTCACGGGGTTTGCATCGATGGTGTGTGCACGTGCGATGCCACATGGACCGGTGAAGCATGCGAGGTTCAAGTTTGCCCGAACAATTGTTCCCATAGTCACGAGCAGGGCGAGTGTAACCGCGAAAGTCATCACTGTGACTGTAGACACGGTTACAAAGGTGAGATTATCGATTAGAGACATTTGTTTGAACATACTGAAGAAATGAAAAGATATTCATCTCTCCTAATAGATCAGCTCTGTATTATTCTATCTACAAAATTAAAATTAAATTAAAAACAATTCTGATTTCATCTCTCCTACTAGTTCTCTATTTAAATTATTCTATCTTAATTATTCTAATTAAGGAACAACCTTATATATGGTTCAGGTTCCGACTGCAGCCAAAGAAGCGACCGTGGATTCTGGGAGAGCGTGTCCTACACAGACTTCTCACCAGAAGGTTCGGCTAGTCATTGCTCTATCGTTTGGAAGGATTCTCTGTACGTAGTCGGTGGCGAGAGCTTTCACCACGCCAAAATGATCTACGTTTATGATTTCAATGGAAACGTTTGGGAGACCCCTCACGTGGAGGGCAAGGTTCCTCTGCCGCGATACGCTCACTCCTGTGTACTCTTCGGTGACAAGATATTCATGTACGGTGGTGTACTGCCTAATTCTACGGTGACCAACGAGATCTGGGCGTTCGACGTGTCGGCGAAAGTCTGGGAGAACGTAACTGTGCACGACAATTTCCACAACAACAAAACGATACGCGGTGGTCCTTTAAAGGTTGTCTACTTTTTTCTTCATGATCTCGTTATTTTATTTTGCAATATTTAATGATGGTTTCACATTTATGGCTTCACAATAGCTTTACATTTCTATTGGAGTGATATGTAGAATTGGAATGTTGAATTACCTATTGTAATAGAATTTGTATTGAAGCTGCTTTTATTTTATTTAAATGAAGATTTTTTGTCAGAATTCTATTAGCCACTGCGCCGTACCAGTTTTTGTTTTGTCTGTTCATGTTGTTTATATATTTTTTAAAACTGTTTTTATACAATTTCTGTAATGTTTGATTAAATTCATTGATCTGTCTATTATTTTTCATTCATTTAACTTTTGTCTCTATACAACATATAATGTTTCATTTTTCCTTTACAAGAGGAAGAATATAATTTATTTATAAATAATATCTGAAATTTTTCAGTATGTTTTAAAGATTAAAATTGAAAATTAAAAACTAATTTACATTATTCAACATAAACTCATTATTGAGATATAGCTTGGCATAAAGGTGTTAGATGCTTTCCCAATATTTATCCATCCAAGTTACTTGAAATATTTTTATTTCATGCCTTATTTCACACAGGTAGCTGGACATTCTGCTACCCTTGTGCAAAGCCACGGAAGGAAAGAAAAGATGGTGGTAATATTTGGCTATTCACCTCAGTATGGCTATTTGAATGAAGTTCAAGAATATTATTTGGGTACTCGTGAATGGCAAATTGTGGAGACAGTTGGATTCCCTGTGAAAGGTGGTTACGGTCATACGTCTGCTTATGATCCATTGACGAATCTCATCTACGTGTACGGTGGATACGTGTCAGAGTCACAGAGCACGCAGGTGTTAACTAGACGACTGTACTCTTATCATCCTAATAATCGTGAATGGAGATTGCTCACATCAGCACCATCGGCTCGTTTCTTTCACACGGCTGTATTCATTTCTGGTGGGTTGATGATCGTTTTTGGTGGTAACATGCACAATGATACACAACATTCGGATGGAACGAGGTGTTATTCAGCGGATACGATAGGATATGATGTCACGTGTGACTCATGGCATCAGTTTCCTATGCCAAAAGAAATGACTGATCTACCTAGATATGGACATAGTGCAACCGTGTTCGAGAAATCCATGTATATCTATGGGGGATTTGATGGACAGATGTTATCTGACATGTCAAGGTAGAATTTTTTTAGTTTTGTTAACGAGTATTCATGAGTAATTTCATTTACTTTTTCTCTATATTTTTTTTTTATCTGTATCTATATATTTCACCTTTGCATTATAATATCAAGTTTGCGATAGAAATTATGAACATGAAATGAATTTTAACTATAATTTTTCAACAAAAATAGAATAACAGTATATTCCATATTCAAGAAATCGAATTGTTTGCTATTTGAAATAGATGTGAAACATATTGATTTTGAAAAATTGAACCTTTTTATTTTTAGTTCATTTTTGCTTTCAATATTTCATATAATATCTCAATGTACGTATATAACAATTAGTGAATAGCTAATCTTTATAAGTAGCTACTAAAAAAATCAAGGCAAGAGATTAATATCCTGTTTATTTTAACTTCAGTTATTAATTCGTATGATCATTAGGTACACACCAGGGAACTGCGAGCACTTGATGAATCAGAATCAGTGTTTGAATGCAAGAACAGGTGTGAAGTGCGTATGGGATAAGAGGGAGAATCGGTGTATACAGATCACCAAGATACCCCGGCACGTGCTTCTTAACGACGATATGCACGATGGAATTTACATGAGATGCCTGGACGACACGCCGCCCCGCGGGATGACATCTCACAAAGAGTTATGTAAATTGCTCACGGACTGTGTGGCATGCGTGCAGACGTCGTATAATTGCGTGTGGTGCGGCAAGAGTTGCTCGTACGAGATTTGCCGAGACAATGCCAACGCGCCCCCGACCAAGGCGATCACCGATTTGGAACAGTGCGACCCTCACACCGGTATCGAGTGTTTACAGTTATTTACGTGCCACGCGTGCTCCAGTAATCCGCACTGCATTTGGTCCTGGTCGAATGGGCCTGATCGGTGTAAGCCATACTCGAAAGCGCGAGAAGTGAGTAAAAGTTATTGTGCATATAGAGTTAACTAAACTGAATAGTTATGGTGGTTTAAGTACGTTTAACTGTTCACTCGGCCAGTCTCATAATCTTATAAATAAAGTAGAGGGAATTATTAAATACTTATAGGTTTTTACATAAGTCAGTAAGTCTTCCTTAATCATTTTGTAATAAATAAAAGAGTCGATCCACACATTTGCTAAGCATCACAAAGCGTAAGAGACATAAGTCAATAAATCAATTTACGAATGTTTACAGCATGTGGCTCTTTTAAACGGGACTATTCAAGCACAAAGGCTGTCCATAGACTCTTGTCGCAGTCCATGCGTAGAATACACTTCTTGTAAGAATTGCACAGAGTCTGACTGCATTTGGTGTCAAAACGAGAAGAAGTGCGTAGACAAGAACGCATATCCTGCGAGTTTCCCTTACGGACAATGTCGCGAATGGACTACGGTTGACGCGAAATGTCGGCCCACGGAAACAGGAAAAGAATGGTGCACGTTTTATTCTTCTTGCGCGGCATGTCGCTCCGATCCCGGGTGTGGATGGTGCGACGATGGTTCAGGGACAGGAAAGGGTCTGTGTCTGCCAGGTGGAGCTCGTGGTCCAAGCAGTAAGAGCTTAGATACGTGTCCGTTTGAACGATGGTACTTTACGAAATGTCCTAGTAAGTAAATCAAGTAAGAATTTACTGATCATCATGTAGGATATCCAAAAATAATTTTCCTTGAATTACATTGATTTCAGCCTGCCAATGTAACGGGCACAGCAAATGTCTCTCGAATAGTAGCATGTGTATTCAGCCGTGTGGAAATTTAACATATGGACCTCACTGCGATAAATGCATTCCCGGTTATTACGGGAATCCACTAAATGGAGCCACTTGCCAACGTAAATTCATCGTTCCTCCATGTAATATCGTTAATTTGTCGATATTGAGCGGATCCTTAAATTTTATTTTCCCATTGCAGCCTGCTTTTGTAATAATCAAGGCACACACTGTACGAGTGAGACGGGTAAATGTTTCTGCACAACGAAAGGCATTATCGGGGATCATTGTGAACGATGCGATGTGTCTAGCCTTTATCATGGAGATCCTACCAATAAAGGATCGTGTTTTTGTAAGTTTTTTCGAAACAAATCTTTCTTAGCAATAAAATTAAAAAAAAGAAATTAGATTTAAATCTGAAATTCTTTTACAGACGATTTGGCCATCGACTTTCAATTTACATTTAATTTAAGTAAAAAAGAGGACCGCCAGTATAGAGCCATCAATTTCAAGAATTCCCCGCCAAAACCCGATATTGACGCGGAATTCTCCATTACGTGTTCCGTGTTGGCTAAAATGAACATCACTGTGAAGAGAGGCGCCGCGCCTGAACAGCCGCTGATTCTTGGCGCGAATTGCACGACCAGCATGTACAAGCACCGGTTTGTCAAAGACGGTTACGGTTTCGGTAGCGAGAACAATAACACATTGACCACATTCTACGTTTACGTATATGACTTCCAGCCACCGGTGTGGATTCAAATTTCCTTTTCACAATATTCCAAACTCAATCTGCAACAGTTCTTCATAACATTTTGCACGTGAGTATTTGAAACTTCGCGTCAGTCTTAGTGAAACGTGTCAGTGTTGCGTGTAGGAATTCGTAACGACGAAGATCGGGAACATTGTGATTTTGTTCATCATTTTTTTTTCAAAATTTCCCACGCTTTTGTCCTAAGCCTCAGGCAGTATTTACTTGTAAACTAGAGATTACATGCCTAGGTGCTTCCTCGCTCTCCTGTTGGTGGCTGCTGTTCTTTGGAAGATTAAGCAAAAATATGATATGTACAGAAGAAGACAGAGATTATTCGTAGAAATGGAGCAAATGGCCAGTAGAGCGTTTAGCCAAGTTTTGGTTGAGATTGAAAGGCGAGACGTCGATAATTCAGACTCGGAAAGGAGTGAGTCCGAGTTAATTAATTGCCGCAAAAAGAAAAAGGTTAGTATTCAATTATTTATATTTATAAAACAATATAACAATATATAATGTAGTTTGTGCAATGTATTTACATCATTGTTGTATATTATACATGTACATTATAATATGTACCACTATACATAATACAGAATGCTTCATGTTTAAATGAAAATTTAACAATTTCTACTATTGAAAATAAGAAAAAGAAGAAAGAAATGTAAAAAATGTCGATGATCTTGGAATACAATGTAAGACGTACGTCTTGAAATTGTGTAAACTTTTTCTTTAACAGTAGTAGAAATAATTTGGATGTTGTATCATTATGTAAATACATACGTAATTATATGTTGTTATATAGAATACGTGGGAAATACGTAATCGATTCTAGGAATCAAAATTACTGAAAAAAGATTTAGTTTTCAAGTCACGAACAATTTTATTCCATTCATGTTTCTTATTTAAATTAAAAGAACCAACAAATTGAGACAAATTACATAAATCGTTAACAAAGTTTCAGTTATTCTCAGAATCATGTTTATAAATGAATATGTATGTGATGTAAAATTAAAATATGTGATATTTATATTATATATATATATATATTATGATATTTATATCACATGTATAATACATAAAATAAAACATAAGAAAACGCTGTCTCCACCGATATTTAAAAAGAAAAACCAGTAAGAATAATGTTGGCGCGATTGTACGATTCAAATAACGGCGCCATTGGCGCCGTCGGTTTCGATACTCTCGATCCGATGACGTCGCTTGCGATTCTCGTTCGCCCGGCTCAAATTTGTCGCGGAGTCGGTGGGGACAGACGTGTCGGTCGCGGTGTCGCGAGTTTCATCGATAATTAACAGAAATTTACAGCGAAAGTGCGTATTACCTGAGTGTTATCCAGTTTTGTTGGTGTAACGTTTGCAGGATGCCCCTAGTCCGATCGCATTGGAGCCCTGTTGCGGTAACAGAGCAGCGGTCTTGTCGTTGCTAGTCAGACTGCCTACTGGTGGTGAACCTTACACGCCAGCTGGACAGAGCGCCGGTTTAGCCGTGGCGTCTGCGTTAGTTACGCTGGGTAGCCCGCGGAGGCCCTCTCAGGAATTGACGACGAAGGAGCCGACGAAAACGCGAAAGTCTGCCAGCCAACACCCAGATTCCACTTGCATTTAGCGATAAGGGCGTGAAACTAGAGAGACACCATTGGACACGTAAAATCGCGGGTGACTATACAATGAGCCTTAGACATGTTTCTGTGATCTTGCCTTAGCGAACTGTGGGCAGGACTGTTCAAACTCTTCGAACTCTGATCGAGTGAAGTGTGTAATCATTCGTTAATTATTATTATTAACTTCCCCCCCCCCCCTGTCTTTTTTTTAAACACTTTCGTTTCTCGTCCTCGCTCGTTCCGCGACGAATCTTCGTTTCGTTCCGTACGATACCGATCGGTGAAAACGAATTTCGACCTCCCGTGGATAATTCGTAATTCCCCGAGATGAAGAAAATCGCGTCATACTCAACTAAGCGGTCAGCTAAGCGGTTCGACCGGCCGGAGTCTTTCGTTCAGCCGATTCCGGTAAGTAAATTCAGTTCTACGGATCGTAAATCCAAACGCGCTTGGCTGACTTGAGACTCTTTTTTTATTCCTTTTTTCTTTTTCTAATACCTTTCTTTCGTCCTCGTCGTGACGAGGACGTGTACAGTGTTGTATATATATATAGATCTGTTGCGCGATTTGTTTCTCTTCGTTTTACTCAATGCGAGTTCATCAGTCGAATTCGTCTCGCGATCATCGAAGTGTCTTCGAAAAAAGGGCTATAAAAAGGAGAAAAAGAAAAAAAGAAACCGAATGTTGTTCTGTATCGGAGGATACTTTTTGGCGCGCAATGAAGTTCATAGTCAGTGCTGCCCTCTGTCTGCGACTAATTCGTGCGAGTAGTCGCCGAACTAAATTGGCGGGAAACATCGACGAACGAAATGACGCAATATACGGGGAAGTTCGATTTGCTAGATACAGTTTCGAATATGTAATTTTCGTTCTTCGTTTTCTTTTTTTTTTTTTTTTTCTTGTATAGTTGTGTAAATACGTGTGTATCTGTATATCCGAAAGTGAAGAACCATGACGCAGACGAACTGTACAGATGTAAAACTGGTTCGAAAGACGAAGAAAGGAAGCGAAAAGCGAGTGACAAGGAATATGTCGTTTCTTTTTTTTTTCGTTTATTCGTCTCTCTCTAGCAAGCGGTAAAGACTCAATTCTAAATCAACGGAAATGAATGGAAGCGAGTTTCGTTGATGTTTTGAAAGTCGCGCCAATTTCGTATCATGGTCTTCGTATTCGACGTGTCCGTTGTGCCAAAGTATTTTCATATTGGTTTGTTAAAAAGAAAAAAAAAAAAATCTTATCGACGAGTCAATCAGTCACAAAATCAATTATCAGAGATGTGGAAATCCATTCCTTTTGTTAGCTTGTCTCTGTTCATTTCCGTAGAGAAAGCATTCGTTATACGATCGAAAGATACGAAACCGGAAGCTGTTCGTCCTGCGTCGAAAATTTTTTCTTTTTTGCAAATACGACGACGTAATTCCGATCGTATAACGTTCGACGTAATTTTAACGAACTTAGAAAACAAGAAGAAGAAGAAGAAAAAGAAGAAGATGATGAAGAAGAAAAAGAAGAAGAAGGATGTGGACGTTGCAATAAATTATAAGAATCGCGATTATTCTTCGGTCGACGATAACGATTTTCGTTTCGCTGTAAAATGGCGGTGCTGGTTGTTTCACGTACCATGCCTACTCTTGAAAAAAAAAAGAACGTTTGAAACAAGCAAAGAATGAAAAAAGACAAACGAACGTATATGTTACGTGGCTGTGGTTTCGTTTTAATTATTATCGTTCTCTCATTTATACTATCGATATATACAAATTTCTTACGTGTTTATCTTTCTTTCTTTTTTTTTTTTTCTTTTGCGTGGCCAAGGAACGATAGCTGCTTCCGTTCTGAAATTTAGAATGATCTCACGTTCTTACTTCCTGTTCTGAATATGGAGGCAGCTCTTACTATCTCGTGTTCCATAAAATACATAAAGAAGAAACTGTTCTCCCACGTTGTTTCACGTGTCGCATAACAGTTTCTTACGACTTAAACCACCAGCACTTGCACAGAATACGAACAGAATATTCGCGTATAAGCGTCGTCTATTTTAATTTCTCTGCCGCAGCGATCGAGTTTTTTTTTTTAACGCGCGTGGGGGTTGATTTTACCACGCTGTTCTCGTGACAATTACGGGATCTTCTGTTCGCCGTGTGAAACGAGCATTAGACTCGAGAGGAAAATACTGATCATAGGATTGTTCGTTATTGAATTTTTAATGAATTATTAATGATGTTCGTTATTGAATTTGACAATTTTTTTATCTATGCAATCGAGAACAGCTTCCAATTCTTTAGATCCACTGTAGTTAAGCAGAGGACCCTGTAATTACTATCTCGTGTAAGACTCGAGGGAATAACACTATGAATGTCGTTCTAGCTTAAGTTTTAGTTGAATTTCGTTTCAAGGCGCCAAACGTTTTTAACTGATCCTCGTAGGACTCGACCTCGAGTAGAGTGTTCAAATACTGATTTTGAATTTATTTATACTGTATCAAGTTTATATATTTCTTACTACTGTATCAATATTAGTTATACGAAATTAATATTCTTCCTTTTTCTCTCCTTTCGAGAGAGAGAAATTTACGTCAGACGTAATGCGAGATTTGCAAAGACTTGAATTGTTTCTTCCATATTGCTCCTCCTCACCCGTATCGAACTATCAAGCTCCCGAAATTTGTTTTAGCTGAGATCTCGGTTGAAACTTTAGTCGAAGCCCTAGCTAAGGGTCTAGTTAGTTTTCTTTCGGTCAGTAAAGCTCAAACTCTAATCAGAATTTAATCTTAACCTAACTGAAATTTAATTTCAACCTAGCTTAACCGAAACACAATCTGAACTTAATCTAACTTAGTCAGAGTGAACCCTAACTTTATTTTTCTACAAACTCCCTAATGTATAATTTACTATTTTATGAATACGTCGTTCAAGTAACTTTTAAGTACTGACTTCCCAATCATAAGATTATAATACTTTTGGAACTCTACTCGTGGAGTGTCATGCTTAAAAAGTATGAGGAACAGTGAAAAATTGTTGGCGATCGAAAACGAAGTTTGGCTTGAGTTTTCACAAAGGGTACGAGTGAGGCAGGCGTTTCTTTTTAATTTTAAACTATTATACAACACAGAGGATCAAGTGCAATGCATTTCGTTTTACCATGTAATACTCATCGGATTTCTTTCATTCTCTCTATTGTACTCGAAGCCTTATATTGTGAGGGTGCAACCAGACACCAGCCGAATATACGCGATTTTTTTCAATTGTGACAAAGTTACCTAACACTCTCGAGAGTCACTTTTTATCCCGTTGGTAGACTGCGGATCTTTATGCATTTACGAGGAATTGAAAGATGCTGAGAATTTCCAGAATGTATGCAAATTAGAAAAATGGTAGCGGTTCACAAACTTTTGTGGGTCAAGACTTATCTTTACAGATAATAATTTCTTGCGATTTATTCTTTTGTAACGTACTATAATTAAAGGTGGAAGGCACTAAATAAAAAATATTGTGGTTCAACGTACACGTAGTCTCACTCTCAATGAATATATAATAATAATGAATACATAATGTATACAATAAATATATAATAACGAATATATTCGTATAATAACTCACTTTTGGAATTTTCTCAAAAATCAACTCGCGATCAGTGAGGGGATTCTCTGATCTAAAGTGAAGTGGTCGTTTTAATATTTGATAACTGAAACAAATCTCGATCTAGATCCCCCTTTCTTATTTACGTCTGCAAAGATGTAATTTTTTATAAACGTCCGCAGTCTACTTGGAAAAAAGGAAGGCAAGAATTATTTATTCTGTTTGGAGTCGTTGCGTCAGCTCTGGTTGCATTCGCGTAAACATACTGTATATTTTATTATCGTAAAGATAATTTAATTTTTTATACAATTGTTTTATTTTTGTTTATTTTCTTTTTTTCTCTCTTTTTTTTTTCTTTTTTAATTGTCAAACCGAACAAGAGGAGTGTTCCTCTCGCTCCGTACTTCTTACGGAATCGCAGACTTTTTTATTGTTTTTCGTGCGAGAATTTAGTTATACATAATAATGATTACAAGTATAAATAATATTGCGTTATACTTTTAAAGAAAATAGGAGTATATTGGATAAATTGCTCAACCGTTTGAGTAGATTATTCTTCATTGCTTCACAGAATGACGTTCTCTTCTGTCTGTCCCTTCTCTTTAATTTATTTTAAAAATTAGACATGTGTTCACTCGATGGTGAGAGCATTTAATACAATGGTAAAAAAAAAAAAAAAAAAAAATCGGAAGACATTTTCGTGGGTAATTGGAGGACGATGCTTCGATCGACGAATATTCTTCGTCCTTTATTTTCTTTTTTTTATCCATTGTCGAGTGTCTTGATACTGCCAGCTTTTATTCCTCACTTTTATCCCTCATTTAATTTCTACGGTCTGTCTGTCTTCTAAAATCGCCAGATCCACTCGTTTAATCGTTGGAAACCCCATGCTGCTCGAGTTCTCATTATAATAGTAATTTTAGTAAATGAAATGTAATGGGGAGACTTGACAGATTTGCCAAGAACACGTCAATGTGGATTCGCGACCAATTTTACTCCATATCATTTCTTTGGACCATTCTCACTTCTCATTGACACTCAGAAGAATTTTTGTCATATGGGTAATCTTAATTGGAGTTATCCTAGGTCATGTACGGTCGTACGTACGAATTTAACTTTTAATTGGTATTATCATGCGATTCGCAATGTAATTTCTTTTTCATCTATTAATGATATTTATCGCTATGTAGACTATGAATTGAATTATACTACATGGAGTGCAAATTCAAATTAGAAGCTAGTTGAAATTTAAGATTAATTAAAATCAATGGTAATTTAGAATTATCTATGATAATTTAGAATTGGAGATTTATTTAAAGTCGTACAATAAAACAACGTGTCGGCCAACGATTAATAGTGTTTCAACTTCAAAAGTAGAAAAAGTTGCATATATCAATTAAAAATAAACACTGTAATGTAAAGTGAAAGTGAAATTGCTGTGTAAATTGTTTCCATATGTTGTATCAAGTACAAGTCTGTAAAACTTTTCTTCTATCAATATAAGCAATTCTCGTGAGGGATGTAACATGTTACTAACATGCAAAAATTAAAAATATCTTTTTTCCCTGAAATTAGCTACTTCTCAAAAATAATAGAGATTTTGTAATATCGTGGTTCTTATTATATCAACTGAAAGTTAAATACACGGTGAACGAAAACCTGTAAATGACCTTGGGTGTTGGACTGATTTCAATTACATTATAGCTTCCAACGTCACAGATGAAATAATTGATGCTTCGAGCAGCAATGGGGTTAACTAGGCCCTAAACTAGGACGGAATCGCACACTATTATTGTTCATACACGAATCGTTATCCACGCTCCTTCAATTTCTCCAGAGAATCAACCCTTAACTGCCCTGAATGAAACTAATTAGTAATTGAATCGTTAAATCTCGATGAGCGGACAAAAGAGCATAACTTTGGATTATTTGTTTTTGAAAAAAGCACTTGTAATATTTAAAGCGTAAGGATTTTGGACTTGAAAGTTGTCCTGCTGGATTTACAAAATATGCATAATATTCGAAAAAAGTTTCTTTTAGAAACGTTGATTTGTACCGTATCTGTTCATTAACGTTATCAACAATTAAATTAATACGAATTTTTAATTATTACATGAAATTAATCTGCTTGTTCATCAACGTTATCAACAATTAAATTATTGCGAATTTTTATGAAAATGTGCATAAAATTTTTGAGAATATCATTGAAGAAATAGAATCTTAGTAGAAAATTGTTTTACGTTATTGAAAGCGCTATACTTTGAATATTTTAATATATTTTCTCATACTGTACATACTTTGCGATGTCGTACCTTAAAATTTTCTACGAATACATGAAAACCCGCGATTGAATCGTGACGCAGATCAATTAGCATTGTGCAAGAGGAGTTAAGGGTTGACATGGAGGAAGCATAAAGAAAAAAACAGGATATGCGAGGAGAAAGAGAAAGAACAAAGTAGTAGTGATTCTCTGCGAGCCTCGACACTCAGTCTACGTAAACTAGACCGGGTCTCTTAGATCGTTAGTCCATAAGCATAGGCGATTATAGCGTTGGACGTATGTACATACGTATGTAGCGTGTTTCTCAAACGTCTTCGGGTTTTTTCAAAAGTAGAAAATCGCAGAGACATCATGCCATCGTGCTTTTCTTTTGGGACTGAAAATTAAATTGTAGACCGTCTTGTGTTAATTCTCGGTCAAAGAAAAAATGGAATGAAAAAAAAAAAGAAAAGAAAATGACGTAGTAAGATTATGTACGTAGATGTCCGTCGTTCGAAATTTCGAAGAGAAGGATTTCTACATCCACAGGGCCTAGGTTATGGTGGTTAGGGATCTCCAAGGAATTTTTTTGAATTTTCCTAGATTCTTGAGAATTTCCAGAACTATCAGAATTTTTGGATTCTTGTAATTTCTAAAGTTTCTAGGATCTTTAAAGTTATCAGTTGTCCCTGAATCTTCCAATAGGATTTCCATCTTTAATACCAAAAATTCGAAACTTATAGTATCTCCAAGATTTCTAGGATCTCTAGAGTTTTTAAAAATTCAAAGATGCTTCGGATCTCTGTAGAATTCTGTAATCTGTATCTTTCTAACTTATTGTTAGTCAAAAATTCTGACGATTTTTCAGAACTTCGAGACCTTTTCAAGGCTTCGAAAATCTTTAGAATTTTGAACTGGCGATGCTCTTTAGATTTTTAGAATTTTTAAGATCTGGAGAATCTTAAAACATAACCTACAGTTAGGCCCTTGGGAAAACGACGCGACATCGGTCGTATAAAAAAACAAACACGATTGCTCCATTACAGAAACAGGATAAGAAAACGAGAAATTCATCTTCATTCAAATGTGGCTCTATGTTTTCTTCTTTTCCTTTCTATTTTCTTTCGGCGATTATCGATGTAATTGTAAGAGTTTCTGTTCGCGAAAACTTGCGGTCCAGCCTCGAACCGGGTCTGGCGTTTAACATTTAAGAATACTTAAACGTAATCTGTAAGTAGGTAGGTATATTATAATAACGAGTAATAGCTTGCAACAACAACAATTTTTCTAGAACACAATTGAAAATATTTATTTTTATTCAACCGTAAGCGTAAGGGTACACTTTGATAAAACGGTAAAATAAAACGAAACAAAACAAAACAAAAAAAAAAAAAAAAAAAAAAAAAATAAGAAAAAAAAAAATAAGAAAGCAAGATGAATAAAAAACTGGGATGAGAAGTAACAGATGTATGACACACCCATGGTGCGAGTGAATTTTTTTGTATGGCACTGGGATAGAGGGTAGGAAGCGGAAACATATAGAGGTATTGATATAAGAGTTATGGTAGATTCGAATGGAATGAGCATTAAAATGCATTAAAAAGCATTAAAACACAAAAGCGAGTGTAAAGAATATGGAATGCTGGAAACATTAATTACTTAACAGCATTTTTAATACGAGGGTGAATGAGATTGTTTATTTTTTCTCTTTTTTTTTTTCTTTTTGAGAGACTTCTCAAGTGGATGGCACAAATTTCGATGCTCGTTCACCTTTTTTGATACTTTTAGTGAAACACTTCGGTAATTCGAAAATAAGAGTAATTAAATAAAATGAAAATACTATATTACGGTCTCCAGTGGATGGTCAGCGAATGACTTGCACATCTGAGACACCCGTCCCTCCACGATCTCGTATTTATTAAAAATAGTTGTTATGCTGGAACGATAGAAAAAAAGAAATGAAAACGTAAAGAGTAATTAATATGAAGTAATTAAGTAAGGTGTTCACACAGGCTGACTTATAATCTAAACTACAGAGATAGTGTAAAATAAATAGATCCTTTTAATATGATGTACGTATATATATATATATATCTATCGACAGCAGGGTGCAGTTTCCTTAATCATATATATATATATATTTTTTTCTTTTGTCGTTATTGTTTTTTTCATTTTCACTTTAAAATCGTGTCACTAGCGATGTATGTCAAACATATGTCGATGTTCTTTGTGTTCCTTTTTCTTCTACTCTATTCTTAACTTTTTTTTTCTAATTTAAGTTGTTTGGTCCTTTTCCGTCTCCGAGTCGATCCGAAAGAGAAGAAACATTTATCGGTTCTGGAGAGGGAAGAGGACGAGAAAGGAAACGAAAAGAATTAAAACAGATATTGAACTTTTTAACACAGAGTAAAATAAAAGAAAAATTTGTATAATAAGAACTTTCGGACCGTCGGACAGGCTTCTGCACGGTCGTATTGCATCAAATATGGAAGCTAATTTATTTTTTACCTCGGATTTATAATAGTTAATTATTAGGCACGTTTAAGACTACAATTATATTGTTACTATTATTATTACACTTCTATGATAATTATTACTATATTATACTACGATTACCATTATAAACTATTTACAGCTATTTATCACTATTTGCGACTGCTCCTACTGCAACCATTATGATTGCACTATTATATTACACAACTATTATTACTGTCTATGATAATTATTAACGAATAATTGTACGATGATGCTTATAAGTGTTTAAATTTCTAGACAATTAGAGATGAAAGAGATCGTGAGATGATATCTAAAGGTTGGAGGGAGGGGTTATTTGTAATTTGTGCAGTGTACACTCGGCGGGGGGCGTAGATCTGAAAAGTCTACCTGATTAAATATATGACTTAATTGTATTTACTCTGTAGGATTTACCATAGTTCTAAACAAGAAATATTTCGGAAGAATGCTCTCATTAATGCTCATGTTTATTACTGAGCGAGTCGCGTTGTGTCTTACTTTTGTCAATAAGAATCAAGCAAGTATTACAAGCTAA